CCATGTCATGATTTCGTATGAAATCAACAATACCTGCTTTTTTTGTGTTATTGTTTGGTATTGTAGTCAATAACCGAGAATGATACGAAGCGTTATACATAACAATAATCTAGTTTGGAGGAATATTTGGGAGAAGCTGCTCACTGAACCAGCTTTCGAATAAAGCCGCAGTCATATCTTCGTGGTAACTAGCAGACGAATCTTTTATATTTTTGGCCGACAGAAGCAATAGAAGCAAAGCGTTAGGTACGAATCCACTTTCATTCCCGGAATGCAAAATTATAACACGTTTTCCTATTGAAGAAGGTGTGTTCAAAGCACAATACTTGGTTTCGTCTACCCAGCCATATTTGACAACATCATGGGTGTCAAACCAAGTTTCGTTGAGGTAGATTATATTTCTGCTGGATTCTCTGTAGCTTTTCATTCGCCTCAAATATTCTTGTCGGAGTTGAACAATGCGTGTCGATTCCATTATGACCATCCGATTGTTCAATTTTTTATATTTGAAACCACAAGACAATAAGACACCTCGTAGAGTTTCTAAAGATTTGTAATTGTAATCGGGATAGACGAGTAATTTATACCAAATTATTTCCAAGATTGGTACTTCATTTTTTTGGTGTATACCCTGAATTGTTCGCCGAATCACATCTTTTGTAGCATCATCAACGTTTGCGAATTTTTTATTCCTTTGTTTTTGTTTCATTGCATGGTCAATGACATCCTCTATTTTAATGACTCGAAGAACTGTCGAACGAGATAGTTTCGTAAACTCACATATTCTATTCACAATAGCATTCTGTGAAGTGTGACAAGCATTCATGAATATTCAAAATTACTCGCTGAACTTGAACATGTAAGTCCTTATTTTCAAATTCCGGATCCCTGTCGATTGACACAGATTCCTCACACGTCATGTTATCATTTGTTTCAAAAGGTCTCCAGAAAGCCATACCCCAAAAACACCCAGAATACCCAGAAAGTACCCAAAAACACTAAGATTTTCACAAAAAACGGTTTTAACGATCACCCTAACACCAAGCTGATATTTTTGCAGTCGACGCGCGTTTCGCTAACAAGGTTAGCTTCTTCAGCAGAAACAAATTGAAACTGAATCTGAAGACAAGGGTTCACACCAGACATTGATTTTTTGAGGATACTCTCGGAATAAGTGTGGGTTACTGTCATCCCAGTAACGGCAATTATGCCTATTCACAGCTCCATTAAAAAAAATGTACTCTCATCGGAAAAGCACGTGTTGAATGATAGGTGCGGATCATCAATTAGTAGCTGGCTCAGTTGTTCACGAAATTGCAGCCTTCTATCAGGATCATCTTCATTGAGTTCCTGTACTAATTTAATTTTGTACGGATGAAATTTATAGGCTTTTAATATCCGTATTATGGCCGAACGGGAGACACCTGAGGCTGCAGCAAGCTGACGGGAGTTTGATCCAATTCAACATGTCCCAAAACAGCGACTTCCACTGCTTCATTTCTGATCGGTTTCCGTGGCTGGTGTTTCACATTACAGACAGATCCGGTATCGACAAACTTTTGGACTAACTTAGCAACGTACAAATCATTCACATTTTTCCCGGGATGACTGTTATTAAAGAGGCGAGCAGTAAGTCTAGCACAACTATTATGTTGATAATAAAGTTTAACAATTTCAACTCGTTCAGGAATGGAATAAACCATGTTCACAGTAAAGTTGAAATAATTCCAAAAGCAACCGAACTGAATCAATGAACGTTTGCCTAAATTCTTTTTGTACACTTATCTGCTGTTATTTGAACCAAAAAACGCACGAGAGAAATTGAGGAATGTAGTAGTGATAAAAATGCCGTTTTTTTCACATTTTCATCAACACCAAAAATATCGAGTAAATGTTCCTATAACTATTCAAGTAAATACAACAAATCAGGTATCATTGGAAAAAGAATTTTGTGTCCTTTCAAATGATATATCACTCGACCCCACTTTCCATTCAAAATTTTAGGGTTGTTACTCACCCTCGCTAGGGGGTTGAAGGCACAGGTAGAAAAATACATCTCAAATGTGTCCCCCTCAAAAGCAAAATTGACCTGGAGAAAAGCAAGGTGCATACTTTTCATTGGACCCCTCGATATACTTACCGCTGTTTCCGAAGGTCATCTGCGACTATTTTAGTTAAAGCAGGGGCAGATCTTTCAACTTTGAAACGAACACAAGGGGGTTGGAAATCCAGCAATGTTGCTGAATCTTATATCGACAACTCCATGGCTAACAAAATGAAAATTTCAAGAAGTATAGTATTCAGCCTCTAGCGCCATTGGAACCTGAACACAACAATGCTGTGGAAGCTTAGTACGTTTCCCCATCAACTTCAACTTCGACCGCAGCTAATATTTCAATTACCGAAAACATGTTGAAACAAGACGACCTACCAGGAATTACTTTACAAAATTGCTCAAATATAACTGTTAATTACTATTTTACATAAAATATAAAAATGAGTAAGTGACATCATTATATATATTTATATACAGTGCTATTCAAATTCGTTTCTGTACATGGGGATCTCGTAAACGATAAGAGAGAGTGTGTCGGTTAAATTGTGGCAAAGTTTCGTATTTTAGAGACCTATTCAATGATGTAAAAAAATTGAATATAGCTCTTCTGGTTCTGGAGATATACACGAAAAACAAAAAAATTCCAAATTATTTTTTTGTCTATATCTTATTTATTCGGAGACATATTGAAAATCTGTCCACATTTTGCTATTGGCACTTGATGTGTGCTATCAGAATATGTCCATGAATCTGAGTTGGGCCACCCCCATCTTTGAAGTTAAATACGGACCTGTATTTTTTGTTGTAGTTTTTGTATCGTCCACGTTCACTTCATACTGAAAAATTAAATTAAATTTCATATTTCCCAATGTTTCTGTAATATTTGATTATAATTGTGTGAATTATTCCCTTTTAAATTACGGTTCTGGATTTTTTTTTCATTTTTAGGTACCTCTTCATTATTTTTCCATTGCTATGAGCGTTTTCTATAATGAATTTCGAATAAGAAAACCTTTTATGGTTATCTGAAATATATCTAAATCAAAAATATATTATATGTGTTTTTATGAGCAGAAAAAGAAATGATAGCAATAATAACATCCGAAACTAACACTGAAATTGTAATGAAAATTGAAATGAAGTCATTTATATACACAAAAAAATTAATGTCGCAATAAATGTTCGAATTGGAGTCCATCCATTTCGAAACATTTTTGAACTCGATTTTTCATATTATTTAATGCCCTCAATACACTTATTTGCTGCATTGTTGCGAAATCATTCAAAATCCTCAATCAGGAGTCTTCCACATTTTCTACCTCTCTACCAGGGTAAATCCTATTTTTCAATGTCCCCCATAGAAAATAGTCCAAAATAGTAAGATCTGGTGATCTTGCAGGCCATCTTATTGGCCCATTATTTGTGTCAAAATGGAAGGAATCCAATTCGAACATTTATTGCGCCATTAATTTTTTTGTGTATATAAATTACTTCATTTCAATTTGCATTACACAATTATGTTGTTCGTTTCGGATGTTATTATTGCTATCATTTCTTTTTCTGCTCATAAAAACACATATAATATATTTTTGTTGTAGATATGTTTCAGATAACCATAAAAGATTTTCTTATTCGAAATTATTTGTAGAAAACGCTCAGAGCAATGGAAATATGAAAAAATATGAATAGGTACCTAAAAATGAAAAAAACAACTCTCTAAAAACTCTATGGTACATAGGGAGACGTAAAAGTTGCTATTGTGTTTTTATTTAACTCGGTCAACAAATTTCCAGGGCCGTATAAAGTGAACATCTACGATCTAAAAATTACTACAAAAAAATACAGGTCCGTATTCAAAAATTCAAATATGGGGGTGGCCCAATTCAGATGACACCCTATATAAAAGATTCATGAACATATTCTGATAGCTCACATCAAGTGCCAATAGCAAAATGTGGTCAGATTTTCAATATGTCTGCGAATAAAGAAGATGTAGGCAAAAAAATAGTTTGGGATTTTTTAGTTTTTTCTGTATATCTCCAGAACCAAAAGAGCTATATTCGATTTCTTTACATCATTGAATAGGTCTCTAAAATAAGCAACTTTGCCACAAGTTAATCGACACTTTATCTCTTATTATTTACGAGATCCCCGTGTACAGAAACGAATTTGAATTGCCCTGTATATGTATTTATTTTAATTTTCAATACTTGAAAACAGCGTAACCGTAGAAAAAGTACAGTGCGTACAATGCGTGAGAAAATTACATATTTCTCACTCGCTTGATTTGCGATTGCTCCAAACTTCTGCGCTCGTGAGAAATATGTCGTTTTTCTCACTTGTTGTACAATATACTATTCAATGTTTATATAAAAGTAGCTGTTTCAAGAAGGCTTTTCTTCCAGTTTGTGTCTGAAAGTTACTTCTTTGCATGTTCTTATTATCTTTGTAAAGAGATAATTTTTGAAATCGACAGTTTTCTTCCTTTCTTTGGAAAATTCCCACCTTTTTTTGTGTCAGGATGGAAAAGTTGACAACCAAAACCTTTGTTTCGCAAAAAGGTATTCTCTCCTGAAAATATACTCTTTCAATTCAAACAAACCTGCTGGAATTTCGGAATACCTTCGCAATTTATTCATAGCGTCATACCTATTTATTATGTTTGTTCAGTATTTGTTATGCTCGCATATCATCTAAAAAGTTTTTGCAGTTTTGCTTAATTTTTGTTCATAGTTCAGAGGATTTAATCACTCAATGACGATGGAAAAACAACAAATCTGCCTTTGCTCACATTAAAACAAATTATTTATGATTGCATATTTTCCAGGGACGTAGTACATTTCCTAAAATCCCTTTATTGTGAGCATAAAGAACGTAACGAAGTTAAATTATGCCTGTTCCGTTGGCAACCAGTATTACAAGTAGGGGTTTATTCATTACTCACCCGTCAGTTTAGACGAAGTGGCATCCGGTTCACAAACACATTCATTTTTCGTTAAAGCTGAAACACTCGGGCCAGTCATCTTGAACTAAATTGGTTGTTAAATGAATGATAACGCAACCGACTAACTGAGTCAACTGTCTTTTAAAGTGATTACCGCTTTACTCAGTTTGAAACATTGCAAACATTACTTATCGCACAACGTTAGGCGCAGACGTAACATGACAGCTTGTTATTGAAATCGATACAAGGTGTTTCTTGAAATCTGACTAAATGTATACGAGGTATATTCAGAAAATAATAGGACTTTCAGTTTTTTCTTTATTCGTCTATATTGAAGTTGTCGCCTCCGATATACACACATCGGAAAAGTCTAGGGATATTTTTAAAAATGGCAATAATTTTTTTTAGATCGCTTTAGGGAAAAAAAGTTGACGGGTGATTATTGAACGAATGTAACTCACAACAAAATTTAAAAGCACAATATTTCCAGTTTAATTGCTGAGCAAGAACTGCATAGAATGTACAAACTCGACACTTTCAGATCATTCATTTCAACCGAAAACCTACAGCTTGTAAAAAACTTGATAAAAGATTAGTTACCGTTTTTGCAGGCTTTGTTCAACCCATAGAAATCTACAGGGTGGTCGAGTGTACTAATTTAATCAAAATCAACGACCTCTTGCATTTATTTTTATGATATTTAGTATGTTATAAAAATATCCGTAGACTTTTCCGATGTGTGTAGTTCCTATTAGATATTTTGTAGGTACTCGTGCCAGAGCTTCTTTCAATCCCCGAAACGATGCGCATTTAGTGACATCTACGAGGGTAGCCTGAAAAGATTCCAACCTTATAAGGAGGCAAGACATTTTTTCAGAATTTTTCGTTATTTTTCAACATAGCCTACTTTCAACTCACCTAGCGATGCTCCCATATCTGTAACCGACCAAATAGTACTGGGCGTTTTTCTCTGCAGAATAATTGTTCACGAAGGTGACTGTCTCTACACTTGACGGAAATCTCCGTCCTCTGAGCGCAATTTTCAGATGAGGGAACAAAGACAGTCGCTTGGAGCTAGAGTGAGGTGGTTGGTAAAGCAGTTCAAACCGCTGAGGTGTGAGACGGTGCGTAGTCTTGGTGAAACAGGATTTTTTCTGCAAATGTGGCCCTGCCTTCAGCTTGTCAAGTAATGATGTGTAGTATGCTTTCGTGAAAATAATCGATTAAAAATAACTCCATGACTATCCCAAAAAACAGCCGCCATCACTTTCCCAGCCGAAAAAACAGTGTTTGATTTGTTTGTAGCCGGTTACCCCTTTACAGTCGACAGTTTGGACTGTATTTTCATTTCGGGCGTATAATAGTACATTGAGTTTCATCTACAGCAATTAATCGGCGCCATAACTCGGATTCATTGCGTCTGAATTCCGCTTAAAGAGCTTTGGAAGTGTTCATTCGAAATTGGCGTGAAGTTATCCACAGATTTCTGGCCACACATGCTGACGTAGAGGAAAATAAAAATCTGTGGTTAGGATACGAAATTATTAGCACCCGTATTAATATCTGTGGCTGGAAATACCTATTCACTATAGGTGGAACGTGGAATTATTAAGACTATTTGGTGTTTAACTTTTTTAAAGAATATTGAGTAGATTGACGCGTTGATAATCGCTTTCTCATCAACAATACAAATTTAGAGAAAAATAAAATTGGAAATATTAGACTTACTTTCCAATACCTCATATAGAAATGATATCCGATGATGTACGTCCATCAAAATCACACAACTTCCATAGTTTTTTGAGTAAATTAACTTGGTGATGACAGTTTTCTTGTCATCCAAACAGATTTCGAAAAAGAAATTGTTGAAATAATCAGACTCATTTTTTGAGATTCCTTGTATTCATGAAAATTACACAACTCTCATAGGATCTTGGGTAGATAGATATAGTGAAAACTGTTTTCTTGTCACCCATACAGAATTCGAGAATAAAATTGTTGAAACGAACAGACTACTTTTCAAAACACCTTGTAGAATGGGAACCATATGATGTGCGTTCATGAAAATTACACAACTTTTATAGAATCTTGCGTAGATCGATGTAGTGAAAACCGTTTTCTTGTCACCCATACAGATTTCGATAAAAAAATTGTTGCAACAATCAGACTCATTTTCTGAGATTCCTTGTAGAATTGGAACCAGAAGATGTGCGTTCATGAAAATTACACAACTGTTATAGAATCTTGGGTAAATCGATATAGTGAAAACCGTTTTCTTATCAGCCATACAGATTTTGAGAAAAAAATTGTTGCAACAATCAGACTCACTTTTTAAAACACCATAAGGTCGCCTGTGTGGGATAAAAGATCAGATTAGTAAAAAAAATTGATCATCAGAAATTCTCGAGCGCGTCAGATTAAGGTAGGGTGAGTTAATTACCTGCCAAAAAGTGTATATTCCAGTAATCTGGCAATTTGAGAGTGACGTGAAGAAAGGGGAGGGCAGCAAAGTTGTAAAAAAATAACGTCACTCCGACATTCTCGAGCGTAATTTTTTTTTTGAAGGGAATAATTGAAGGATAACGAAAAATATATAATCTGATGATTTCCGCAAGCCGAAATAACAAAAATTCGTCGATAAAGTTTAATACGTGCAGCTGTGTGATGCCTATATTTCCCTCTCCGAGTTTCTATTCCTCTTTCACTTTTTCTCTATCTATTACTCTCTCATTCCGTCCCCACTCTGAATTCTGTTGCTATGACGCCATCACAGCTGATCACAGAGACTTGTTCGTGATGAAGATGAAGATGATTAATTGATCAATTAATTGATGGATGTAGCCGTTACTACGTGGTAGGAAATCATAATGAAGAAAAGAGAAATTAAACTTTCTATGTTTTTTACAACAGTTTTGTCCTATAAGGACATTTTCAAACTTATACACTGTATAAGGAGATTTTCAAACTGATACAATATATGAGTTTGAAAATGTCTTTATACAGGACGAAACTGCAGTAACGTTAGTTACAGATAAAAGTGGTAAAAAACATAGAAAGTTTCTATTCTTTTACAAATTCTATTCTATTCTATTCTATTCTATACAAATTAAATTCTATTCTATTACAAAAAACTTAATTTTTTGAGCATTTTTTGAAATAATTTTTTTATGAATACAAGTATTCTTCTTAAGAAACATACACTTATTTATCTGCATGCCATTTTCTGAGCTTTTCATTTAATTGAGTTCAATGAATTGAAAAAAAAATGTTTTTGACAGATCAAGCGAATCCCTCTAGATAATCGTCAGATTATGACACAGCACGTCTAAAACATATAAACCATATACAATGTCACCATTAAAGTGCGCACCATATGGGAAACATTTTTTTCGAAAAGTTTCAATGAAGTTAAACTTCGGCACTTGTTTGTGCTTTAAATTTAACTCAAAATGATGCGGCCAACTGCGACCCACTGACGTTCAGTGTTTGTCAAATTCACCTTTTTTTTTTTGAAAAAAAATGAAAAAGTGCATTTCTAGATCGAATTCAACAAAAAGTTACTTGAAAAAGTTGTGTCTACGGCAATTTTATATCCATATGCAAAATTTTATGCAACTAGGACAAAGTAAACGTTTTGCTTATTTTTGACAGATATCCCCTTTATTTTAAAAAACAAGTTCGGTTAATTGTCATCAATTCATGTATACATAACAAACTCATCATGGAGTTTGACTTTTCTGATAGATTTGTACTCACACGGACATTTTTAGAAAGAAATTAAAAATGTGCTATAAACATTTCATGACTGGTGCAAAGTTTCAATCACTTGCCTATTTTCTTAAACAAACGTCAGTACCTTCAATTTTGAAAAAGCAGACACAACTCAAAAACTGCAATAAGTATTAATAAAATTACTAGAGTTGAAATTACAATAAAATTTCAATATTCAGTATTTACAGATTATTTATAAACACTAACTACTGCGGTAAGGATGCTTAATTACGTAGGTCTTGACAAACAAAATGCATGCTATGGTAGTGTCAAGTTGTTGATTTACCTGTCAAATTTTCAACAGCTATTGTTGCAATAACGTTGTCTCTTCAGGAAAGAATATAAAAAGTTTTAATATGTGGTGAGAATACACCATACCGGCAAGTAGCTAACATTTTCAATGAACGGCATTCAGGAAAAGATGTTCAACATACTACTGTGTCAAGGATAATGTCGAAATTCAGAAAAATAGGATCCGTAGCAAATCAATTCAAAAAAAGCACACTTCAAGTGAATATGATGAGGAGGCCCAACTTAACATTTGTTTAAAAGTTATTGAACACGGGCAAAATAAAAAATACCGATTACAAGAAAGAAAGTGTTAGAAAATTTTTATTAAAGAATAAATGTTGGCCTTACAAGCCATAATTTATTAACACATCAAAAGAACGAGATTTTGATGTCCGTTTGGGCTTTTCATTCTGGGTTCAAGGAGAAAGAGAAAAAAATGTAAAGTTTCCGTATAAAATTGTATGGTATCAGCTTGATGGCGCACCAATACATCACACGGTTGCTGTAAAACAGTACCTCCAACAAATGTTCAGAGGCAAAGTTATTGGACGTAACTGGGAACATTATTGGATTTTCAAGTAACTTTTTGTTAAATTCGATCTAAAAATGCACTTTTTCAATTTTTTTCAAAAAAAAAGTTGAATTTGACAAACACTGAACGTCAGTGGGTCGCAGTTGGCCGCATCATTTTGAGTTAAATTTAAAGCACAAACAAGTGCCGAAGTTAAACTTCATTGAAACTTTTCGAAAAAAAAGTTTCCCATATGGTGCGCACTTTAATGGTGACACTGTATATCTTAATCTGACGAGCTTGAGTATTTCAAAATGGCGAATTTGTTTTGCACATTTTAATAATGGTCGCGAGTTTGCGTCAGATCGAAATCGTCAGATTATTGAATTAGGGCTTTTTTTTGTTGCACTTAACACCCCCTTAGAAAATCTGACACGCCCGATTTTTCTTTTCACTTTCAACCCTTACGTACAACCACCCACATCATGCAAACGATCAGATTAACATACCAACATTATTAAAAATACGTAGGACATTGATGCTATCAATATCTGACGCGCTCGAGTATGTCCATGCAACAGTATATTTCTACATATTCAAAATCTATAGCCGCTTCCCCCACCGATGA